ATGGATTTAGTGTCACGGGGAGGCTGCATGCAGGGAGGGGAGGGGAGGGGGTTCTTGAGAGCATTGTAAGCTCTAGATGATTCCTTACATCCTGAGGCTCTGAGAAGTTGGGTGGGTGTTTCAAGGTGCCCTTCTGGATATCTGCTAGAGGTCACATGTACCAGTCCCTTGTTGCTTGAAGTGGGGAGGGAAATGCTGCGTATTTTGCTTCGGGGATGGAAAATACACACATGCTTAGGGACCTGGTACTCATGTCTTGTCTGCTGCTCTCTGCCAGAGTCAGGGGTGGGGAAAGATGTGTGTGCATGGTGGGGGCGGGGATACCACCTGAAAGCTCCATTTACCTGTCTGAACCGTGATCCTCTGCAATGGAGTCAATGGAAATCAACGCCCCTTTTCTTAAGGAAACAAAGCAATCTGAGCTGTGCTAGTGTCAGCCCTCCAAGTCACAGGTGTCCCTCGGACAGAGGTCTTGTGGGAATGCACAGCAAGGCCCTGCGGCTCCTCCTTTCCCACACACCTCCCGGAATAGTGATGAAATGCTCCCGGTGGAGATGGGCCTGGGCACTCTCTGACCTAATTTCCCTTCCTACCTCTCCTGTTCTTCCACCTCTTCCCTTCGAGTTTTGTTTTAGCCTCTCTTGAATTTCACCTGTTAGTCGCCACTGGAAAATGCTTCTTCTGGTCCTCCTCTCATAGTGGGGGATCCTGCAAGTCAAGCACTTCCTGCCTGACCGGTCCCCCCACCCCGAAGCTTATGCACACAAACACTGATGGTGTTGTGTGGGAATAAGCCAGCATTCCATTGTCTGCCTGCTCTCTCACCCCGCAAGGAAGGGTCCTTCCCACAGTCTGTCCCCTACCCTCTGGGCCTGCTCACCTAGAGCTTCTGTACAATTTACAAGACCAGTGCTCTAACCCCTGAGCTCTGGAGTCTACTGTAAAATTTAGTTGAATGAGAAGTTCATGACTATAGAGATAGTGCTGACCATATTTTAAGCAAGAGAAAGGCAACCCCTGAGTTTTGAAATGATATTAATGCAAGTAACTGTGTTTTCAACTTCAAAATTGCTTTGACAATTTTGGATATGTGCTTGATTAGGTGATCACATCATTTAATTATTATTTTTTTGAGCCTTCAGGCAGGTGTGTGTAGCTGCCAGAGCCCCTACCATTCTCCACTGGGTTACTCTCAGCCGCTTCATGTACTCAGGTGACTTCTCTGGGCTGAGGCCATTGCTTTTGCTTCCCTTGGTCTAAATTTTTTTTATTAGACTTTAACAGCAGCTCCATGCTTTTCCTCAAGGGGTAGCACAAATTTCTTATTTATTTTTCTATGTTAAATTTCTAGTAAAGTAAACAATCTTATTAACTTCTATTTCTTTTCAGTGATGTCTGATACAAGATGAATTGAAAAAGGCTTTGTGGACTAGCCTGGCACTCTAAGCATTATTTAAAGCATTAATTCTATGAGAAAATATAGCCCAAGTATGCTGACAAGTTAGTCTAAATGTTCAATAAATGAACCTAGGAATACAGCTTCTTTATAAATTAGGGAACGCCTAGACATAGATTTTAAAACAATATTAACTTATGAAATCTGAATATTAATGAGATTCATCTATTTTGTGATTATCGATAAGATATATGTTACAGATATAATGATTCTCTCATTATACAAAACAGAAGTAATCTGTGCAGAAACACATTTTTCCATTTGGTCCCAGGATTGATTTGCCCACTTTGGGATTCTAAGCTTATCAATCTTAAAAGAAAGATTGTTTTTAAAAGGAACAGGAAAAATGAAGGTAAAGAAGAATTAGCACTGTTTAACTCTTACTGAGCCTAGGTCAATTTTCATATTTGAGTTTAATAAATTCTAATGACCTGTGGAAGTTTTTGTGAGAAGTGTTAAATTTCTTTTTTATGGATTCTTTATACAGATAAACAAGATGAGGATGGCATAACTTGCTATTGGTCACCCAGGTAGTATCCAGCTGAGCCAGGAATCGGACCCAGGACTGTTGCTAAGTGGGGATGGAGTCTTGCCCCCTCCCAAGGCCTTTCTCCCCAGCCCTTCTCTGAACTTCTCTCTTTTGAAGTTCAGCTTGGCTCCTTCTCTGTCATTGCCCCTCTGTGGAATCACCTCATTCTGGAGTCATCTCATTCTGGTTCTGCCTTCCTTCAGCAGAGATCTCAGAGGAAGACACTTTCTAACTTCCTTGTTCCTTGTGGACATTAGGATGGCTGTTTATGCTGTTAATGTATTAAATGTAAAGAAAGAAGGCTTTTAAATGCTGGAGAGAAAGTGAAAACACCTTGTTTCTCTTGGACTGGTACATTAAGAAAATTACATGTGGCAGGGCTCCAGTGAATGCATGAGGCACCATGCTCCCCTCCCCCACTTTCCAGGCGAAGAGCTTCTGCTGTGTTTGGGCAGCACAGGCCTGGGATTTATGTGTTCTCTACCTACGGAATTGAATGAGGCAGTAATGCTGGGTGATCCACAGTAGGAAAGGCCAAGTGCTTCTCACGGGTGAGAAGGAAGAGAAATGGAAAGGAGAAAGGGAGAGAGGAGGAAAGAGAGGGAGAGACTCTAATGTGTGGGCCTGAAAGGATAAATCTGCAAGTCAAATTCTAGGACACTTTGGGTGTACCGTTCAGTTTTCCTTTGGTGTTTTATTTATTAAGCCTTTAGTAGAGATTTAGGGTTTGTTTTTTTTTTTTCTTTTTGCTTTGTACCCAGAAGTTTCTTTTGAATGTGCTGAGATTTGTAGCGAGTGGCCCGTTTTTACATGAGTTAAACAGAAATCTTTAAGATAAGGTTACTGAAGCATCTAGACAGTGTTTACCCCAGTGTGTTCCATGGAACTTGAATCCCAGGAGATGTGCTTCAAAATAGGGTTTCTTGGTGAGAAAATACAGCATTTTATTTCCCATTTTTGGAACTTCTGGAAAATTCTTACTAAAAAATGAGATGACCTTTTTAAATCCACAGATTCAAAATGTCTGACTGCAGACCCCTTTTGTGAGTAGCAGGTGTTAACAACCCAAAGGACATGGAATCCTTGGAACACACTTGAGTTATGTCATTCCAGAACATTCCATGACAAAAATTTCCTCCCATTCAAGATGAGCTCCTGCCTCAGGCACTTCCAGAGTGACCAAAACCCTTTAGTTCACTTCAAATAAAGGGGTGAGAAAACTTATCCAGCATAGGAAACAGTTCTTTCTTGTCTTTGTAGAAGAGATGTGGATATTTTCCAAATAGTTTATATGTATATCATCACTATTACTTCTCTCACTGTGTGATTCTAGGCAACTTTTTTTTTAACCTTTCCATGTCCCAATTTCCTTATTAACAAAATGGAGCTAATAATAGCTATCCCACAGAGGAACTCATGAAAGCACTTAACAAGAATGTTAACAGATGGTGGCTACTGCTACTGTTAAAAAAATATTCTGCACTTTCCAGGAGGGAACAGTTTATTTGGGAAGATGAGCTTTGTATAAGCAGAAACCTTAGTAGTGGAACTTCTACTATGGCAGTGATCACATGTGTGCATGCTAAGTTGCTTCAGTTGTATCTGACTCTTTGCAGCGCTATGGACTGTAGCCTGCCAGGCTCTTCCATCCATGGGATTCTCCAGCCAAGAATACTGGAGTGGGTTGCCATTTCCTACTCCAGGGGATCTTCCTGACCCAGGGATTGAATGCACATCTTTTATGTCTCCTGCATTGGCAAGCAAGTTCTTTGGCATTAGTGGCACCTGGGAAGCCCCCTGGCAGTGATCAGATAGTATCGTGGTTGTATGACTACACTGGATCAAGAACTCCTTGAGGGCAGGTTCTGTTCTCAAAATTCCCTGGATCAAGTTCTTAGCAGGATCATATTAAATGTCTGTTGAATGAATTAGTGAAGTATGTAAGAAAACCAGTTGACTGTGAAATTAGTTTTGCCTGGTCTCAAAGGAGGATAAGCCAGAGCAGGTTTCCTGGGGACCAGAAGAGTCAGGAGCTGAGACAGTGAGAAAGGGCTTGAGGGCAGCAGACAAGCAGGGCCAATTTTCTGAGGAATCAGCAAGGCAGGAGCCAGATGTCTGGAGTCAAAGGTCTCTGGAGATGAGGCATGGTAAAAGCTTGAGGAATGGCTTAGAGCCAGACTTCTGGGGGCATGGCTTTTCACAGGCTGACCTATGGAGAAAAGAGAATAAGTGCCTTATATACGTGGACAGCTCTAGTGGGCATTGGGTTGTACCAGGCGTTCCCAAACTTCCCCACTGACATGTACGTGATAGATGACACCAAGTGCATAACATTCCCTGGTGCACTGCCTGTAAAGCCATCCTTCTTTGCCCCACCCCCACCTCCAAGCATTTCAAAATGCAATTAAGGGAGAATGATGTTGTTAAGCCAGTAACCTTGAAATCACTTTAATTTCTTCTTAAAGAATCACTCATGAATTTCAGCTCTTTACCATCATTCATAATAAGTGTTAACACAGCTCACAGTGTCCCTCATGTGTGTTGCAATGTGACATTTAAGAACCATAGGTCCAGCCCATTGTCAACCAGGGCATCGTTCCATCTGAGTGCTGGTGAAATTCCGTCACTGAGTGGATCAGGGTAAGGCCCCGACTGTTAACCAGGTGGAAGAGGGAGGGGATAACCATTTATAGAGCACTTATGCCTCAGACACTGAGCTACACATTATATTCATTTTCTCAATTAAATCTCTCGACATATCTGAAAGGGAAGAATCATTATTCATATTGTTCAAGTGAGAGAGGCCATTGGTCCTGGGAAAGTATATTTCACTGAGGATGTTTGAAGACTTGGAAGTTTTAAATAGGGGTTTCCTCTATCTGAAATGCTCACTTTGAGAAATGGGATATCTCAGTGTGCTTTTTAAGGGGACAGAATGGTTCATTTTCCAGTTCCAGGGAAAGGCCTCTGTGGCCCCTCTTCCATTAATTCTAAGAAGGCACCTTTATTTTCCAGCTTGTCCTGCAGGGATGTTCAAGGCCAGCCAGGAAGCTGAGGTCTGCTCTCACTGCCCTTCCAACAGCCGATCCCCTTCAGAGGCATCTCCCATCTGCACCTGCCGGACTGGCTACTACCGAGCGGATTTTGACCCCCCAGAAGTGGCATGCACTAGTAAGTGTATGGTAGGGGCTCTGGGCTGGGGAGTTTGATTGTCTGATAGTGCAAGTGGTGGGCCTGGGCAGGGAAGACTTAAGGCACCTTTCTCTAATTGCAAGGTACAAAGCAGAAATGCTGGCTGTGGTGCTGAAATGAACAGCTCCTTGCTGGGCAAGCAGGGCCCCTCTATCAGTAGTACTGGTCAAGGCTATGTTCTTTCTTTGTCCTCTCCTCCCGGACGAGAGGGCCTTCCTCCTACCTGAGCAAGACAATTTCTGTCCACCAGATGGTTAAAAATGTCAAATGGAGAGTTCTTTGAGTGCAAAACCAAGGTACACCAAGATGTTGGAACAATTCCTGGTAACTCCTCCAGTCACCTCCTCCGAGAAGATCACTTGGTCTTCACAGCTGAGAATATCCTCTCTTTTCACTCGGCTTCCTGTATCTCTGTGACCAGGCTCCCCTTAGAGCTCTCATGATTTTACTAATTGTCTAGTAAAAATTTTCTTTTTTTTTAAACGTAGATTTTTATAAAACAACATTTGTTATAGTTTCTGATTATAAGGTTAATGCATGTTGACTGGAGAGAATTTGAGCAGAAAAGAGTAAATATGAAAATAAATGCAACCATATTATCTATATCGAGAGATAACCACTGACAACTTATTGTGGCAATGGATATCGATTCTACTGAACATTCAATGGAGAAGTAGAAAAGAGAATTTAACTTGATTAACACTTTTAAACAAAAATTCCTATTTAGCAGCAGCCATTGATCCCAACCATTGCTTCCCACTTTGTCTGCCAGCTGCTGATTTTTCTCTGTTTCAGCTTTTTTCTGGTAAGGTATCTAAACTGTTCCCCACCCAGCCAGGCTCAAGAAGCCTTCGTCTGCCTCTCAGCATTTCCCCTTTTTAAACTTTATCCGGGAGTATTGGCTCAGTGGTAAAGAACCCTCTTGGCCATGCAGGAGATGTGGGTTTGATCCCTGGGTGGAAAGATCCCCTGGAGAAGGAAATGGCAATTCACTCCAGTATTCTTGCCTGGGAAATCCTATGGTCAAAGGAGCCTGGTGGGCTCCAAAGAGTTGGACTTGACTTAGCAGCCAAGCACGCACATGCATAGTTGCTTTACAACGTTGTGCGAGTTTCTACTGTACAGCCGAGGGTCCGGTTATCCTTCACTCGTCTTTTTGGTTACCCCGTGAAGGCCCTCGTGTGCCAGGTGCCTATATGGTACATCCACACCTCTGTCAAATGACAGGACCAGAGTCTAGCGTGGATGCCTGAGGCAGAAATTCCAGGGGCTGGGGCCTGTGCATCAGCCCCACCACTCTCCCACTCTCTGCTGTAGAGGGAGGGGCAGTAATCCTACCAAAGCTGGAGTGGGGCAACTCTGCTCCCTGGGGAGGGCTGGAGGAGGGGAGAGTTTTCCCACCCTGCTCTCCCTCATAATTTGCCCTCAGGCAGAGATCAGAAGCATGTTTATCCCTGCACAGCACTTTCAAGAACTTGCTCCTCCTCTCCTAAGTGTGGCAGGCCTAAAATAGGGATACTTTTCCCTTTTAGTATTCTTGTTGCGTTCAGGAGTCAGTGCTCCAGGTTAACCTCTAATTATGCTAGAACTTTCTTCTGTGTTGGGTAATGTTGCCCAGATTGTTCCAAGTAAGGACCTTTCCTGCACCTCCTCTGACCAAACTCCTTCCGCCCACCCCAGTATAGAAAGACACGGAGGAAACATTTCATACACATTTGCAGTTTGATGGTCAGAAAAAAATGACTGAACTCCAGGTAGAATTTCTTAATTCTGGCCTTGCAGTATATATAACCTTTGCTGGATAAAGAAGAAGAATGAAAGTGTCTTCTAGATCAAAGTTCTGAGGTCAATCAATGCTTATACATTTGAACTGAGAAAAAGCTCTTCCTTTTGTAAATTGATTTTTTCCCAGATCTCTCTGGGTTGATATGAACAGAAATGATTCCATTTCTGCTGACTGGAGTCCCAGTCTTCCTTTTGTGGTACCCCTGTACTGATTTCTGAGGTTCCTCTGTGTGTCCTGTGAACCTGACAAGCATTGTTTCATGCACTTCTTTAGAAGCCACTTAGGCCCAATCTCTGCTTCCTGGATATCCAGACTAAGGACCAGTCTCCATGATTGCCAAAATCCAGGTTCTCACAGCTTCCATCCTGAAAACATTCCCCTCCACTCTCCTGGACCCTCTCTTACTGGCCAGCCTCCCTCTGTGGATAAACTCATGGAAATAAAAGTCTGGGACCCCAGCTTCCAACTCCAGCATACACACCCTATAAATCCATCCAGCCCCTGAATAAGGCCACCTCGAGAGAAGGTAGGGCAATGACAGATGTGGAGCTCATCGCTATATAGCACCTCTCTCTTCTGCCTCTCACATGACATCTCCCTTTTATCTCTCCGTCACCTGACCTGATGTGCTTGAACCAACAGAGCTGATTCCTGGTATAAGCAGGAGCATCCAAGAGCCTTCACTCTGCACACTCTAGACTTCACTGCCCACTGCCCACCCATGTCCTGAGTCCAGCTCCTTAAACTCAGACCTCCCAAGCTTTTCTCTCTTGCAGTGGTACAGCTGGCTCTAAGTTAGGCACACCTTTCTAGCCCCTATGTCCCACCACAATCTCTGCATCTTACCCAGAGTGGGCAGGTGAATGCAGGGCTTGTCAGGATGTCAGGGTGTGGAGGAAAGTCACTGAATCAGAGTCCCAGTTGCCTGTAGAGGTCTGGCCAAGAGCAGCTCAAGGGCGCATTGTCCAGCTCCAGGCTCTGGTTGGCAGGGGCCAGCAGTGGGTAAGAGGACCCAGAGGCCGGGCTGGCTGGCAGCACAATGCTAGGCAAAACAAGTGTAAATAAACCTATTATTTTATTGAGCCTCATTATATATTTGATTTATTGTGTGCCAGGGAAGTACTGTATGAAAAAGTCAATTTGTTGGCTTTTATAATCTCATTAGGGTTTCCTTTTAAAGCATTCTAATTGGAGGTGCCATCTGTTCTCTTAAAAAGGCATCGCACATCACCAGTGTAAATAATTTTTCAGATACAAGGAGCATATCTGGAGCTGTGGAGGCCAGGTACAGTGCTGCCCCATGGCCTAGGGTCTCAGCTGGTTCTGCAGGTGGAGCAAGGCAGCCAGCATGGGCCCAGCCAGCTGATAGAGGGTGGTGGGGGTGGGCAGGGCCCAGGTGCTTGTTCACTTAGCAAGTGCATACCTCTGTCCAGGCAAACAAAGGGTGGTGATGGCCCAATGAGGTCCTGGGAGGAACCAGGCAACGGGGAGCTCTGTCCTTCTAAAATATATAGGACGGCGGGTGTCCACAGTGTTCAGGTCTGGGATGTGATGGGGGAAAGGGACACAGTGTGGGAAGCCTCCAAGAGCCTAGGTCTCAGGCATGGTCTGTTGCCACTGTCTTTTAATGAGGTTGTATCAATAGTTGTTCACTGACAATACTGGACATTTTACAAAAAAATTTTGTGGTTTAAAATGTACTCTTTTACAAGGCTAAAAATATCTGTAGTTTGCTAAAAAGTTGATGTTTTTATGACTCTTGCTAATCTCGTGAAACAAGCACCACATATATATTCATTGTATTTTTTATAGTGTTCAAGGTTTTAATTTATTCTAAATTAATCTAAACATTTAAAATGCATGACAACTTTCATAGCCCTGTGCGGGCATTTCTTTATTTTCTTTTTAACCTCCGGGGAGAACCTGGAATCTCCTTGACTGCCCCGGAAGCCCTAAGTGTCCAGCCCTGCTTGACAAAGTTCATGGATTCAGCAGGATCTTGGATGCACCCCAAGGCTGTGTCAAAGGGCTGGGGTGGGCTTTTAGTGAAGGCAGAGAAGAGGGGCATAGGGAGCTGTATGAATGAGTCTGTGATGATGTTATTGCTGCTGATCTTGGACACCCAGCTCCCTTCTTCCTTCTTCTCCATCCTCCTCGAGTCTCTGCCAGTCCTGGCATTCTGGATCTGCTGCATCATACCTGGCCAACTGTCCCCTTGTCCTGCCATGGCCCCATGTGCTCATTTTCAGGAAGAAGCCTTGTTCTCAGCAGGGTTTGGTGGGAAGGAAGGGAGGACCGAGAAGACTTATGTAAGGGTTTAGGGTGCAATGCTGCAGCATGTCAGGGCTACCCTCAGACAGAAGGACAACCTAAGCCATGATGGGATCAGGTGAGAGCTGAGGCATGGCTAGAGGCAGGTCACAGATCACAGGTGACACCACCCCCACCCCAACCCCTGCTAACAGAACCCCTTGAAAGAAGCTAGGCTATATGAAGTGCTCAGTGAGGACCACCTTTAATGAGGAGGAATTATCAGTAGGCTACTTAGAGAAGTGGGCAGGAGGAGAGGTCAAAGGGAATGTCCAGCCCCACCAGCCAGGAAGGGTTGCAAAGGCTCTCGGCTGGGGAGCTGGGACTCTGAACATCAAGATTACTGACTTCAGCTGAGGAAGTTGCTCACCTTTCTCCTCCTGCTTCCTCCTCCTGAAGCCCCCTGGGGAGTCTTGGCACCCCAAATTGCCCCAATCTCCTTGAATAGGTCCTGGGAAAGCTGATTGAATCACTGATTTGCGTGTAGCATTGGGAAGGTGGGCTTGGCACTTCACAGACAGAAGTTTGAATCTTGTCTCTGTCTCTTACTGTTTCTGTGAATTGAACTAATCTCTTACCTTTCTTACGTTCTGTTTTCTTCTCATGACCTCATAATAATGCATGCTTCTCTGGGTTGTTATGAGGATTAAACAAAATCATATTATGGAGTCTTTGGCTCAGTGCCTGGTTCATAGTAAACTGTCAATCAGTGTTAGAACTTGCTTTGGTTACATCCCTGGAAAGTGTGAAGATTGCAGCAGATATGGAAGCTTCCAGCATGATTGGAGATCTAAAAATAAAAGTGATGTCCTCAGGGGGAGAACAGGTTTGATGCCAGCCCCGAGTGTCACAGCAGGATCTATCGTGCAGTTCAGATCACAGT